AGATGCTTTCAAAATAATGCATTGCCATAGGCAAGCATTGCTTAAAATGGCTATTCAAAGTGCCACTAATAGTGAGGCTTATCAAAATTAAGCACCCAGAGCACATGAAATTATAATTTCATGTAAATGAAAAAAGGATTAACAAAGTCAAAGCATTTGGCTAAAGACCCGGTGTTATACAGAAAAAAATAGACTAATTTTATATTTTAAAAACTGATGAATCAAGTACACATTTCAATTAAAAGAAAAAAAAAGCAGAGTAAAACATATACAAAAAAACCTGAAAAAAATGTTTAGAAAGTTTAAAAGAAGACCAGAAAGGGTAAAACAATTGATTAGAACTCTGGAAAGAAACCAACTGTGGTGATTTGAAAGAAAATGGCCCACAAAGGGAGAGGCACTATTTGGAGGTGTGGCCTTATTGGAGGAAGTGTGTCACTGTGGGGTTGGGCTTTGAGGTCCTATTCTCAAGCTACACCCAGTGAGATAGTTCACTTCTTTGTTGCCTTTGGATCAAGATGTAGAACTCTCAGCTCCTTCTCCAGCACCATGTCTGCCTGCTTGCTGCCATACCCTGCCATGATGACAATGGACTAAATCTCTGAAACTGAAAGCCAGCACCAATTAAATGTCTTCCTTTATAGGAGTTGCCATGGTCATGGTGTCTCTTCACAGCTATAGAACACTGACTGTCACACCAACTCACAATTTCAAGTCTACCCTAATGCTTCCATGCTAGTGAAGGACAGATCCATGAGCGGGTGAAATGAATAAATCTATCATTTCATATATGGGTACATGCAATGAAGAGCCACCAAATAGGGCAAAGCGTTAGCTGGTGTCCAGAAGGAGACTATTTTCAAAGAGGGGAAGACCTGAGAGAAAGAAAACAAAGTCTCTTCTTAAAATGCTTTATTTGTTTTTGAGACAGGGTCTTACAGTGTAGACCTGGCTGTCCTGGAACTTGCTCTGTATGCTAGGTTGTCCTCAAACTCAGATATCAACATGCCTCTGCCTCCCAAGAGCTGGGGTTAAAGATGTGTGCCATCATACCTGGCTCTCAGACTTTTTTAAGCTTGAAGCATAAGTAGTTGAAATGTACCTGAGAAGAGGAACACCAGGAGAAGGGAGGGAAACCACAGTGTGTGGCTGAGGAAGCAGCATTTCTGCAAGGGCCCCATCAACTCCGACATGAAGAATCCTGATTCATTCACCAGTCATCTTAGCCCCTGAGAGCATGGGCAGCAGCAGGCTCAGTGTTGCCGTCATAGTCTTCTTGGAGCACGTAGAAACCTGCAGGGAATGGTGGAAGGGCACGGATTCTGATGCTACAGCATCTGAGGTTGCATGGCCAACTTGGCTGGCAAAGCTCCTATTTGATCCTCAGTTTTGAAGCTGCCACTGGGCATATGCAACTAAATTAGTCAGCAGGACCAAAAGCTGTGTCCTGATAGAATAAACTGTGTCGGGGGGGGGGGGGGGGGGAGAGATATCTAGTTCTTAACTGAAGTAGCTTGGATTTAAGCTACTTAGTCGGTAGTCCGCTGTCTAAAATAACCCCAGATGAAAAGTGATCACAATAAGCACTTTCTATACCCAAATTAACAAAAGATACCGAAGGACACTGTCATAGTGGTAGGTATTATAAGTCAAGCAACTTTTTTTGTTTGACTAAAACACCCAGGTAAGTACTTTGAAGCATTCATGAAGTTATATGACTTTTGCTAATCTGGAAGATAAGATATGAGCTCACACACCAGAGCTAAGTGACAAATCAATGATATAGTAAGTGTTGTGGTAGATAAGATGAGAACAGAAGTCCACTCTTGGTTTTAAAGTAAGCTTTTGATCTGGGACTAGGGAAAAAGATTTGTAATTATTACATGATAAGAAAAGCAAGGATTCAAACAATTTCTCATCATACCTGTTTCTTATTTTGAAAAGCAATACACGGAATAAAAAGTCTTCAATTAAAATTTGGAGGAACTGGGTAGTAGTGGCGCACGCCTTTAATCCAAGCACTTGGAAGGCAGAGGCAGGCAGATCTCTGTGAGTTCAAGGCCAGCCTGCTCTACAGAGTGTTCCAGGACAGTCAGGGCTGTACAGTGAAACCCTGTCTCGAAAAACCAATAAATAAATGAATAAATATAGAAATAAAAATCAGAGGAACTGGCGGCTGGGAGCACAGTATAGCTGATAAAGTGCTTGCCTAGAATGCATGAAGCACTCAGTTCCATCCTCTGTTCCTGTCAAAATTAGGCATGGTGGCTCACCCCTGTAACCCCAGCACCAGGGAGGTAGAGGCAGGAGAATCTGATTCTTAAGTAATCCTTTTCAAGGCCAGTGTAGGTCATGGGGATACATGAGATCCTATCTCAAAAACATGATGATTGATTAAGAAAATAAAACAATTGGCAAACAAGACCCCACCTCTCCCTGAGGGACTAAGGACAGTTAATGGTTGTCCATCCATGCACAAGAAGGTAAATCTAGTTAAATGCCATGGGCTACAAAGAGGAACACACACACACACACACACACACACACACACACACACCAGAAGAGGCATTTCAGGAGAAGGGGTTTGTGGCAGGGGATGTGATAAGACAGGATAATTGGAGCAATATGGTCAAAGCACATACACTTTCATGTACAAAATTGAATTGAAAAGAATATATTTTATGCATATGTTTGTGTGGGTCTGATTGTCTGTATGTGCACCATGTGTGCACCATGTGTGCACAAGTGCCATACAAAGCCAGAAGACAGTTGGAGCCCCTGGTGCTGGAACTTCAGGCAGTTGTGAGCCACCCCATGTGGACGCTGCCAACCAAATCTGGGTCTGATACAGGAACACCAAGTGCTCTGGACAACTGACCTCTCCAGGCCCAACAATAATCTTGTTTAAAGGAATCAACACAAATGCTAAGATTTGTGAAAGGAAATAATATGGGGAAGTCTGACTGACTAGACAATGAGATCACTATCTGTCTTAGTGTCCTGTTGCTGTGAAGAGACCCCATGACCAAGGCAACTTCCTAGAGAGAAAGCATTTCCTTGGAGGTTTGCTTACAGTTTCAGAGGGTCAGTCCATTATCATCACGGCAGGAAACAGGCAAGCATGGCACCGGAGCAAGGGCTGAGAGCTACATCTTGATCCTCAGGCCAGCAGGCAATAACGGATAGTGGGCCTGGTGTGGGTTTTGAAACCAACCATGATACACCAGGAATATAAAAGGCCTTCCTTTATGGATTTTGTATTTTACCAAATAAGTAGGCAATGTACAAGAAAAATATATACACAAGAAATGTAAATAGAGAGATATTCTGATACTGAACAGTGCTGAGGGGAGGCAGGGCAACAACTTCAATTTTTTGAGAATGGCCTCTTGGAGATAAATTGAGTCTTGTTGAGGCCAAAGCTGGGTCTAGAAACTGTTAGGAAGACACTGTGAACAGAGGGCAGCAGGATAATCTCTCAAGTCGGAAAATGAGCAGAATGCCTGATTACTGCTAGAAATTTAAGAAGTTCTGGGCGTATAGATAAAATTTAAAGCCTGGGCCCAAGGAAAAGGCTCAGCGGGAAAATGAGCTTGTTGTTCAAGCCCAGCCACCAGAGGTCCACTCCTATACCCACCTACAGGTGGAAGGAGGAAGGAGGAGCTGACTGGCTTGGCCTGCTGCAGGACCACACCTACTTATCACTGAAGGACCAAAAATTAAAATGAATAAAAGTTTAAAAACTTAGGCCCTGAAAAGGGAACTTCTAATGACTGGAAATGCCGGGCTGGTACCTGAGCCCTGCTCTCAGAGAAGGGGAGGTGACCCTCCACTACTTGGGTTAACATTCCTATGTTTGCTAATTACTGGATGTAAGGTTGTAAAGATCCCCCAGCCCATCGGATAACTGAGAGACCCTGTGACCCCGCAACCTCAAACCCTGTCTTATCTTACTCAAATGTATCTTGCTTAAAATAGTTACTGCTTTACTCTGTACTTTTTATGACCATGGAAACTCTGAAATTTGTGGCCTTCAACTGTTAGATTCCTGCTGCAGCTATCAGTAGAGAAAAAGGTAGCGCGTTTCCCGTGAGTGCCTGCCTATCATGGGGGGAGAGGGGGCAGGGTCAGCCAGGCCTTAAGTCCTAACATCAACCCTATGGTCTGCCACTTTAAAAGCTTCTCTTTTTGGCTGGTTGGCATCTCATTTCCCCATCATGGAGTGAGATCCAAGCTGGCCAGCTTGAACAATAAAAAGAAACCTTTTGATATTGCATCAGAAGTGTCTGCTCCTTGGGTTGGTCTCTTGGGCTCTGCGAACCTGGCACAACAATCATGAACTCGCACAATAACAGATTCTTTTTTCCTTCCTCCTTTTGTTTTTCTGAGACAGGGTTTCTCTACATAGCCCTGGCTGTCCTGGAACTCGATCTGTAAACCAAGTTGGACTCAAACTCCCAAAGTGATCCACCTGCCTCTGCCTCCCAAGAGCAGGAATTAAAGGCATGCGCCCCCACCACCTGGCTAACAACAGACTCATTAAAGAGCCTCAGGAAGTGTACTGTATAGTACACTCACCAGAGGACTGCACTGGCCTGTAGAAAAGGCAAGGAAATGACGATCAACTCCTAAGACGCTTAGTTGACATTTCTGTAAGAGTGCCTTGGGCCTTCTATTTATCCTGAAAATCAAAGTGCATCACAACTTGAATTCCATGAGTTTCTGGTATACTCCTGATAAAACCGGAGATTCTACTAAGTTCCTTAATTATCCCCTTTGTAAAGTCAAAGAATGTCTGACTCCCAGCCACGGGATCTCCCGTTTGATTTGGGTGAGGACAACTTATGGGTACATTTGTAGAAGGCAAACGGTCTCTTGGTCTCTTGGTCTCTTGTTTGCCAGGAGAGGAAAGGCGAACAGGAGGGCCGCTAGGCGGAGCCTAGGGCGGAGCAGCGGGCTCAGGGCCTGCCGGGGCCTAAAGCTCCAGCCAGCAGTGGCCCAGTGAGAGTCCCGTCATGCTGTTCCCGTGCGCGCGTACGCTGCTGCTGCGCGGCCACCTCCTGTGGGCTCGGCTCCCCTCGCGGGCCCTGGTGCCCGCGCGGAGCCGAATCAGCAACGGAACCAGTGAAGTCCCGGCCGCGCGGGCTGGGGTGGGTGGGTGCGCGAGCCGGTAAAGCGGAGCTGCGGCAGGAGTGCATGCTGGTGGTGGGAGGGAGCCGGGGAGGGTGCATGCGCTGGTGGGGAGGAGGGAGCCGGGGAGGGTGCGTGCGCTGGTGGGGAGGAGGGAGACCGGGAGGTCGCGCGCGCTGATTGGAGGGAGCTACTGGAGGGGAGGCTGGACTTGCCCAGGTAACTGCAAGCCTGGGCCGGGCTCCGAGCGCGGGAGCGAGTCCACTGGGGTCCCGGAGGAGGGGAGCCCGCCGCGGTCGGTGCCTCCAGTAGGCCGCGCTCGAGCCCATTGCGGAAGGCCGCATCCCTGTTCTGCGCGGTGGGCTCGTCCAGGCGGGAGATTCTTTTTTTTCTCCCTCCGGGCTGGCGGGTTCCTGTGCTCATTGCACTCTGCTTTTTACCGTTTGCCACCATGCCCTGCTCCGAAGACGCTGCCGCCGGGTCCATCAGCAAGAGGGCTCGGGCCGAGGATGGCGTTTCTCTGCGCTTCGTGCGGCTCTCGGAGCACGCCACGGCTCCCACGCGCGGGTCCGCCCGCGCTGCGGGCTACGACCTGTACAGGTGAGAGCCACGGCCGGCCTGCAGGAATGCAAGCACCGAGCCTTGGTGCAGCCGTGGCTCCGCCGCGTTCTCCCAAAGACTTTTAAAAGTTCATCTTAAGCAAACCAGGAAGGGTTTGGGCGAGAGGGAAGTAAACGGCTGACATGTCCAAAGCATGACTGTGCCGCGTGCACTCTACCCTTTCCAAGTGGAAGGTCCGGTGAGCAAGGCTTATGCTTGACCAGAGGGTGACCGTCTGCGGTGTGCACGTTAGAAAAGCTAAGTTGAGAGTCTAGGAAAAAGATGTATGGACGCTGCTTACTTCTCTCTACGTCCCATCCAAGGACTGGGAACTTAAGGAAGGGGGTCTCAGGCTAATGAGATGGCTTAGCGTAAAAGTATTTGCCATGGTCACCAAACCTGTTGACCCGTGTGTGTGCATCTAGCATGGCGAGTCTTGGGAGAGACATTAGTTACTTTGGCCATCTTGTAAATAAGCTGGGGTTTTCTGTGTGTTTGAAGACTGGTGTATAAGGAGTGCAAATACCTTGTGAAAGAAATGGAGCCATGGAACAGTTAATTCTACCAGATTGAATTAAGGCCACCAGAGTAACTTCCATGTTGCTCATTGTAAAGTCTCTGACATTTTTATCAGGAGGGGAGCTCCAGTAATAGAGACCACAGCAGCATTTTGTAGGAGGACCTTCGGAAATCGGTTTTTATCAGTGTCCATCCCCAGGAGCTGGGTGATGGGTGACCAGTTTTCTCTTCAGCTTCCCAAGTCCACAGCCATAGCTCTGGAGGCTTGGTGATCTACCTGGCTAAGAGGAAGGATGAAGTGCATCTCAACCGCTCGCCAATGTTTTGTGTTTTAATATTTTCTTCTTCATTCAAGAGAATGGTTACATTTCTCATTCAAGAGAATGGTTACAAAAGTAAAATGGGTTCATATGCATTAGCAGGTTAGAACTGTGCCTGGCATGGAGTATGGGCCTAGGGAGTGGTAGCCGTTATTTGCCCTTTTCTTGGCTTTTCACTTTCTCTCCATAAAGGTAGAATTAAGTCAGCCTTTCTGCCCTTCATGCCAATTCTCTAACCATTGCTTTCAGAGACAGAAACACAGCAGTGACAGTGTTAATTCAGAGAACTGTTAGCTAAGCTGTGTGTCCAGACTGACCACCCCTTACCATGTAGTTACAGATAACCTGAGGGCTCACTGAGAGAGGCTCTCTGCCCTGAGTGCTGGGATTAAAGTTATGTGTCACCACCTCCAGCCAGTTATTTTTTTTTCTTTCTTTTTTTTTTTTTTAACTAAAGAAAAAACTTCTAAGGAAACTTTTAAATGATTTAGGAATTTGTCATGTTTATAGGATTTAAGTTTATATGAAATAATGACATATCTGTATACATTTTATATGTGTTATCAAAGCAAAGAATGTTAAAAGCAGTTTAATAAAGCAGTGGTGGTCCATGCCTTTAATCCCAGCACTTGGGAGGCAGATCTCTGTGAGTTCAAAGGCCAGCCTGGTCCACAAAGAGAGTTCCAGAACAGCCATGGATGTAACAAAGAGAAACCCTGCTTGAAAAACCCAAAAAGAAAAAGTTTAATAAATACTTTATTTAAATGTCTTTTCAGTGCCTATGAATACACAATACCACCTATGGAGAAAGCCATTGTGAAAACAGACATTCAGATAGCTGTTCCTTCTGGGTGTTATGGAAGAGTAGGTAAGTAGTTTAAGAAACAGGTAACTGTCATGCCTGTCCTTTATGATAACTGTCTGTCATCTTAGTGTCATGTAGGCTTGGTCTGTGGCCATCTGATTGGATACACCTATTTCAAAAAACTCAGATTCACATGTCTGCTTTTGCATTTTTACTTCAAGTACCTTCTTGAGCTTTATAGAATTGTTACACTGACCCAATTGTTGGTTCTTAAAATGAAAAATTTAGGTGGTTTTTAATTGGAGCTTTTCCCAGTAGTATTGTCAACTCTGCAAGAGTTAGTCTGCATATGAGGTCACATTCTTTGTGAATATAGTCATTTTAAGGTTGACTAATATTTTGTAAGAAAGTGGGGTCTTAGAATGATGGCTTTGGCATTTTATATTATGGGAGAGAGGCCTGAACCCACGGAGCCTTGTCCTGTTCTGGGCCCCAGAGATTAGAGTGAGAGACACTTGTATGTTTGAATCAGTTCCTGCTGAGAAGAAAATGGACTGTCAGTTTCTGGGGAGTGTCATTGTCTAGAGAGTAAATTCAAAACTTGTCAAAAACCTAAGTGCCTTTGTAACTTCAAACTAAGTAAGAGGGAAAAAAAACCAAGGCTCTTCTTAGCTAAGAGACCTGGACTAACACTCTTGTTATGAGTGTGTAGAACCTTTAGTACCTTGGCCCTTGAAAAGAAGAAAAGGGGTTCTGCTAATCTAGCACCACCGACTACACTTTTAAAGTCCTAGGGTAGGAAAGCAATTGGTTGGGATGAGGGAAACAACCCTGAAAAGGTGGTGTTTATTGACAAAGTGCCTGCTTTAGATTGTTGTGAAGTGTGGTCCTAGATGTTAGGATTATTGAGATAGACCTGATGGTTGGGTCAGCAAGTTTAAGCTATAAAATGTCTTTTCATTTTTAGAATAAAAAATGTACAGGAGTTTTTAATTTTTGGTGAAATTCCATAGATATTTTAGTTCACTAACATTAGAGCTTTGGCCATTACTCATGTTCCATGCAGGCATGTCTCCTAACATGAAGAATGAAAAGAAGTCTCTGCTAAGCTCTGCCATTGTTTGCATAGCCTTATCCCTTCTTCATTCTAGGATTTGCATATTTAGCTCTCCCATCTTGAACTACAAGTTGGGCTAGAAAGATGGCTCAGTGAGTAAAGCATTTGTCCACAAAGCCTTGTGGCCTGAGTTTGATGCCGGACCCACATGTAGAAGGAGAGAACTGAGTCCACGGGGTTGTCTTCTCTCTCTCTCTCTCTCTCTCTCTCTCTCTCTCTCTCTCTCTGAGTCCACGGGGTTGTCTT